TGTTCTTGGGCACGGATATGAGCCGCTGCAGAAGGCAGTGCGTCAAGAAGTGGGAAGCGGCTGTGGATTCAGCTTTTCTGGGGAATGCGGAGACCAGTTGTGACAGGGCTGCGTACCTACATAATATGTTGGCGCCACGCCAGACGGACAAGGCCATCGGCCATCACGGTGAACCACGACACCCGCAAGTTCTACGAAGACGTCAGCCACCAGCAACTGCGGGAAGCAGCAGAGCACTACAACTTCGACGGTGCGTTGCTCAAGGCGCTGCGCTGCTTGCACCGCGCGCCGAGACGAGCTAGGTGGACGGGAGGTACGAGCAGAGCCAGCCATCCAAATGGCACGATCTTTGCAGACTGTAGCGCAGCAACTGGAGTGTCGAAGCTGATGACGCTGTGCCTTCTCAGGGGATTGGCAGAGGAGACCCCACCATGCCGCGCGCTGAACGTAGTGGATGATTTGACGACGCACACCATCGGCGGCCCCAAGACAGTTATTGAGAACACTTTTGCCAGCTTCGTGACTGTCACATCAGAATTGGAGTCGAGGAAGTTGCCGATTAATTGGGATAAGACCAAGTTCATGATGTCTGACCGCAGCCTGCTGCCCGAGTTGGCACAGGATCCAAGGTGGAAGCTCGCAGACGACAAGCTGGTCATCTCCCACCGCGACCTCGGCGGCGACTCCCTGGACGGCAGAGCTCGGAGAGTCGGCACGCAGGCGTCGAGGCTTGCGGCCGCCCGCAGCACCGGAGCAGCATTGCGCCAGCATGGGCAGAGTGAGAAGCATAGTCGCGTCTATCGAGTTGGACCGCTGGCAACGGCAACGTGGGGATCCCAGATTTGGGGGATCCCGCCGACCACCCTCCACGTGCTTCGGGTTCAGGCCGCGAGATCCTGGGGGCCTCTTCTTCCTGGGACCTCCCTGGGTTTCAGGTTCCTCGCCTCCCCCCGACTCTGGCTCAGGGGCCCGCTTCTGGTGACGGTGGTGTCGGCGGTAAAGGAATTCGTTGGAGTTTGGTGGGCTAAGCCCATCTCGAAAGCAGCTGTAGAGTCTCGTGTCCAGGATGATCTGGTCGTTCAGAAGGGCCAGGCCCCATGGAACCAGGTTCGTCGGCCTGTTGCTGCGCTTTTCCTGCATCTGTCACGGGTCCGATGGTCTTCCGGGTTTTCGAAGATGGCCCTTGTTGATGACCTCCAGAGAGAGTGGTCTATAGACCGCTTCTCGCCTAAGTGTTTCTCGCACCTCTTGCGCGGCTCGGTCGCTAGGGCCATCGAGAGAGAAGAACAGCTAAAGCAGGTTGATTTCGGTCTGTGGAGTGGGCCCGTTTTTTGGCAGCCCATTCACCGACTCCTGGGGCGACAGGGGTCCGAGGTGTGGACAAAATCGCACAGGGCCGCGCTCTCGGCGCTTGTGGCGAACGTGCATTGGTGCCAGCACAGAGTGTTTGAACACAGTCCAGAGGCCACCTGCGAATGTCAGCTGTGCAGAGATGGCCGCGGCACGTTGCACCATCGCCGTGTCCGATGCACTGCGTTCGAACCGTGGCGCCGTGAGAACCTGGATCCTTTGGTTGCCAGGGCTGCTCGGAACGTTGGCCATCCCCCGACCCCCGCTGGAAAATGTTCCAATAGATGTTTGTTTCCCAACCCCGCGGCCCGGGTGACGCGACCCCCCCCCCCCCCCCCCCGCGACCCGCTGAATCCGCGCACGCGTCACTTCCAGTGGCCTCAGGGCGGCCTCCTGTTCATCCCCGAGGGGGCGCGTGTTTCCACCGACGGGTCGGGATTTGAAGGGAAGCTCACAGGCTTAGGGACCGCGGGGTGGGCAGTTTTGGTGCTCGACAGCCAAGGCAGAACCGTGGCCGCCCTGTTCGGCGTTGCGCCGTTCGGGGAAGCGCCTGAACAACAGGCCCGCGATGGAGAAGATTTTGCGGTGCTGATACTCTCTCGCCGATCGGTCCTATCCTCCAATGTCTCGCTCCATGTGGACTGCGCTGCCACAGTCGGGCGCCTCCGAAACCTCACGGGGGCCTCGAGTTCGAGTTCTGCGCGGGCCCGCTGGCGGGCTGAGATTGGGGACCGTTTGGAAGGAATTTGTTCAGAAGACCCCCTCCCATACCTCGATTGTGGATGTGCGCGAGGGTCGGATCACAGAGATGCAGCTGTTTGGGAACTCGGAAGCTGACAGACTCGCCAAGGAGGGGGCTGAGCCATTCCGAATTGCTGCGGCAGACAGACAGCGACTCACTGGATACGCTGATTTTGCGCGGCGCGTGGGTTTACACTGCGCTAGCCAGCGGGCCGAGTGCGGAGAGCTGTGCAGTAGCGATCACGTAAATCTGGAATGGCTAAGCTACGTCCTGCTCGACGCGATCCCTGGGTTGCCCCTTCCTGGGGCGTCAAGGACCCCCTCGGAGGCGCCCGGTGGTCCAGGGGCCTCGGGGCGGGGAGGGGGGCCTCAGGAGGCCCTGGGGAACCCCGCCAGCGAGCAGCCTCCTGAGATCCCCCCTCCCCCAACCCCTGGAGCGTGGATCCAGAACGGGCACGCTCTTGAGCAGGGAGATGTTTATGAGTCGGATGGGAACACGCTTCATGATTCTCTGCTGTGCTGCACCTCGCGTGGTGCGGTTTCCCACACCAGCACGAAGAGAGGTAACGTTCGTTCGGTTTGTCGACCGTCGTCGACTTCGGGTCGCTCGTTGTATCTGGATAAATTTCGTGCTGGTGTATACCCTGGCCACCGAAATCCAAAGGGATTCACGCTGGCGTACGTTGGAGCCCCTACCCATGAGGTTCGGCTTGAATGGGGCCCCTTTTTTGCAGCCTGGAGCAGAGGCCTCCAGGGGCCCCCGAAACAGAGTCGGGGTGCCCATCCTTCTCGCCGTGAGGGACCAGCAGCCGACCTTCTGCGAGGTCTGGAGCTGGTCGGCCTCACGCGCGCCGAGCTCGAGGCGCTCGGCGCGGAGCTCGAGGACAGGCGGCGACGGGGCGAGGGCCAGGAGGAGGAGGACCCCGCCTTCCCCGTCTAGCCCGCCTGTCCCTCTGCGCATGCTTCTGTGAATCGGGTCACTCCCCTCGTGGTCGTGCGCGCCCTCCTCCCCCTCCTCCTCCTCCTCCTCCTCCTCCTCCTCCTCCTCCTCCTCCTCCTCCTCCTCCTCCTCCTGCTGAAAGACCTGGGCTCTGCGAGGGCCTCCGACGAGACGTTTCTTTAGGGGGACAAAAAGTGGCATAATAATAAAAACTCGGAGGTCCGCGCGGATTTCTCGGGTCGGCGCCGGGGCCCCCCGGCGGCGCCTCCGGCGCCGCCCCTGGCGCGCGGAGCGCGCCAGGGAGGGGGGTCCAGCGCCGATCCGAGAAATCCGCGCGGACCTTTTTTTATGTTTATGTCATTTTTTCCCTGCCTAGGCTCTGCCTAGAAGGGTTCCTGCTCTCTGGGCTTAAGGGGCCAGGCAGTGGAAAGCGCCCCGGGCGGTTCCCCCAGTATCCGCCCCGCGGTTCCCCCAGCTACGTCCCCTTAGTTTAGCGTTGCTTATCTCATATTAGCTTAGCTTATTTCATCTTAACTTAGCTTAGCTTCGTCTTATCCCAGGCTTATATTAGCTTAGCTTACCTTCATCTTAGCTTCGCTGAGCTTTAGCATAGCAGAGCACAGCATAGCATAGCATAGCGTAGTATAGCATAGCGCAGCACAGCATATCATAACATAGCCCAGCATAGCATAGCATAGCGCAGTATAACATAGCATCGTACAGCATAGTTTAGCATAGCACAGCGCAGCATGACATAACACAGCTTAGCAGAACAGAGCAGAGCAGAGCATAGCATAGCGCAGCATAGCATAGCATAGCATAACATATCATAGCGCAGCATAGCATTGCATAGCATAGCATAGCTTAGCATAGCATAGCAACTAATGCTGCTTTCCTAGGGGCTCCAACTTCTAGGTAGGGTCGCACTGGGGTAGTTCCCCAATCAGAGCTTGCCTTTGTAGGGGTCCTAGCGGATTAAAGGCTGAGGTGAGAGGTGCGGCCGATTTCAGTGGCCGGGCCCGGGTGCCCGGGGGTGCCCGGGTGCCCAGTGTGCGGCCGATTTCGGTGGCCGGGCCCGGGTGCCCGGGGGTGCCCGGGTGCTCGCGGGTGCCCGGGTGACGGGTGCCCGGTGCCCGGGTGGGTGCCCGGGTGCCCGGTGCCCTGTAGCCCTATAGCCTTATAGCCCTATATCCCTATCGCCCTATAGCGCAATAGCCTTATAGTAGCCTTATAGCCATACAGCCCAATATCCCTATAGCCCTATAGCCCCAAACAAATTCTGATTGGGGTTTGTCTCCGGTATCATTGTTCCTCTATTTTTGGGCCGTCGCTGAAGTTTACCAGACTCGCTTGGGCCATGCGGGGGCCAACATAGGCCGGACGGGCGTTGATCCGGGTTTTTCGGGGGGAGGTCGCCCCCCGCTCTCGAGAGGCTGTCGCATGCTCTTGGCGCGACTCCAGCCTCAGTCAGGTCCGCACACCCCCAGGTGGCGCCTTCGCGGGCGCGGGCTGTCTGTATCATTGAAGCAACATGTATCCCACATGTGTTGAGTTGCCTGCTTGAACGGTCTTCGGCGACGTTGGCCCGCTGGGCCCACGAAGTGGCTCCCTCGAGGGCGTGTTGGGGCCCTCCTGGGCCAGCTGAAAGGAATGTCGCCGCATTGGGCTCCAAAGGCCCGCTTCGGGGTTTCCTGGGGCCGTCCTGGAGGCGGCCCTTCTGGCCGTCTGGTGGCGTCATAAGGCGGCCCCTTATAGGAGTCCCCGGGCCAGCCGAGCCCAGAACGGCCAGGAGGTTGAGGCGTACACGTGCACATGCCGTGTGCCTTCTGCCGTGGGCCCCCACGCGTTGTCGGTTGGAGACAACTCTTGCCGATGCTAGTTGACTTTCTGTACCGTAAGCACTCGCTCTCAAAGTATGTCGCTTCTGTGTACTTATGGCTGCACACGTGCATTGGAATGCATTCGCCAGGGCAGACCATCGCGGGCACCAACATCAAGGCCTTCATGGAGCATCTTATTCGATTGCCTCGCTTTGTCATATACAGCGCCCGTTAGAAAGCAATAGCGCCAGCAATGGATTCCGATACGCCAAGAGAAAGATGGTGCAGCCAGTTACTTCAGGTAGTGTCGTTCAGTCCGTGCAAAGCATGTGGGATGATAAAAGACTCAGCTTCGCCACAGCACGATATGGCAACAAAGGTGTTTGCATTGTTCTGCGACAAGAGGGATAGCACTGCACGTCCATCCCTGATTCTTGCAGTCTGATCAGACGCGTTTGAAATTGAAGCACGTGCAGCGTTCGTTTCCCTGCCTGGTTGAATATGTCGAGAGGCTGACCCAAAGAAGGTTGAGAAGAAGTAGGCGCCACTGGAAGGTGAGGATGGGCAGCAAGGAGCAAGACAGGTCCGCAACGCAGCGTGTGCAGTTCCGAATCACTTCGTATGGATGCTGATGTTCGTGTCCAGGAGTTTCCACGCACGCGGATCGTTGCCATGTCGAGCACGAGTGATCAGGTGCGGGTCTTGGACGGGGCTGGGTCGCGGGAGCCTTTTCGGAATCTGGGGGTGGGAGTTCGCCAGGGCCGGCGGGGCTTGGGACCAGGGGAGGCGGGGAGTGCCGTTGAAGTTTTCAGTGGAGTTCCCAATCGGGGCACGAAGCGTGTGAAGGGTGTGCCGCCATGGGCGGGGCGGCCGCATGTGGGCACCGCCATTGGAGTCCTCGGTGGAGCTCCTTGTGGGGCCACGAAGCGTGTCAGGGGTGTGCCGAAATGAGTGGGGCGCCCGCACGTGGACATGGCCCCTGGGGCCTTAGGTGGAGCGGCTCCCTATGGGACCACGAGGCGTGTGAAGGGTGTGTCGGAATGGGTGGGGCGGCCGCACGTTGGCTGCGCCATTGGGGCCAACGGAGAAGCTCCCTATGGGACCAGGAAACTCGTGAGGGGTGTGCCGACATGGATGGGGCGGACGCATGTGGACATGGCCATTGAGGCCTTGGAGCTCCCCATTGGCCACGAAACGTGTGAGGGGCGTGCCGCGATGGATGGGGCTGACGCATGCGGGCTGCGCCATTGGGATTTTCGATGGAGCTCTCAACGGGGCCACGAAACGTTGGAGGGGTGTGCCCACATGGATAGGGCGGACGCATGCAGGCTGCGCCCCCTGGGACCTTCGGTGGAGCTCCGTGTGGGGCCAAGGAACGTGCGAGGGGTGTGCCGCGATGGATGGGGCTGACGCATGCGGGCTGCGCCATTGGGACCTTCGGTGGAGCTCCCTGTGGGGCCACGAACCGTGTGAAGGGTGTGCCAAAGTGTGTGGCGGTGACACATGCGGACGTGGCCATTGGGGCCATCAGTGGAGCTCTCCATGGGGAGACAAAACGTGTCAGGGGTGTGCTGAAATTGGTGGCGGGCGACGCGTGCGGGCTGCGCCCCCTGGGACCTTCGGTGGAGCTTTCAACGGGGCCACGAAACGTGTGAGGGGTGTGCCCAAATGGACGGCGGACGCATGCGGACACCGCCATTGGGGCTTTCGGTGGAGCTCCCCATGGGGCCGCGAAACGTGTGAGGGGTGTGCCCAAATGGGCGGGGGGCGGATGCATGCTGGCAGCCCTACTTGGGAGCTTCGGTGGAGCTCCCCATTGAGCCACGAGATGTGTAAGTGGTGTGCCCGAGTGGATGGCGCCGACGTGCGGGTTGCGCCACTGGGGCTTTGGGTGGAGTTCCCCATGGGGCGACGAAACGGCTGTGGGGTATGCCAAAATGGATGGGGCGGGCGCATGCGGTCTGCGCCCCCTGAATCTTTCGGTGGGGCTCCCTGTGGGGCCACGAAACGTGTGAAGGGTGTGCCGAAATTGGCGCGCGCGGAGCACAGGGACGATGATGGGAGGACGGAGGCGGGGGAGGAAGAGGAGTGCGGAGCGAACGCGGGGCGCTGTCTTTTCAGAAAGAGGGCCCAACTCCACAGGACGGTTGGGAAAAACAGAAAAATTGGAGAAGGAGAATATCGACATAGATACTCATACGTATGTGGGGCTACAGACGGAGAGCAACCATATTGACAGACAGACGGGCAGAAGTGGCCAAAAATGCATCGCCTCAAATCACACAGTAAGTATGTAGGGCTTTACTCTGGGGTCACGCTTCTGAGGCGCTCTAGAAACAGCCAGGCACTCCGTAGAATGCCGGACCGCAGAGGCGTGTCAGTTCAATGGTGTTGGTGTGGCTTGCTCGTGTTCAAGAGCGGCCGCAGTGCCGGATAGATGTTGGTTGGACCTTCTAGTCCTTGGCATGTGTTCGTCTGCCCCACAAGACTTGGTGAGTCAATGATTTGTCAAGGCAGGCGTGTGAAAATGAGTGGTCCTCACGTGTGTAATGGCTTGCTGAGAAAGTGCTCGAGCCGCGCAGGCTTGACCGCCCGCGTGCATGCACATCACCGCAGATCTGCGGCCAGAGGAGAGCAACGAGTTCCGAGCAAGCATCCGCTCAAGCGCAGCTGGCCACAGCCTTGGCAGGATTCGCACCAGCTTCTGCAAAGGCAAGACTTACGAAGAAGCGTAGTGACAATGGAAAGATGGGCGGGGTCAGTGGGGACACAGTGCATGTCTCGACTGCCAGCGCTGAGCGAATTACACGTACTGTTGCTTAGATTTCCCCGAGCATTGTCAGACCTCCCGTTAGTGTTTGTCGCAATTCTTAGAATATGTGTCGATGCCCTTTCGACAAGTCTCTGCACCCATTGCCTCCCCCAGCATTTCCTTTCGCCTATTTGCAATGGCTTAGCCATGACCCCCTATTACCCAGAAGGGCGCAATCTCGCAGTTGGGATTGCGAGCGTCCACGCAAGAAATGGTCAGAGGATCGCGTGTGTCGGCTGTAGAGTGTCGGGCAGCATCCAAGCGGCGAGTTGTCGTGCAATTTGCCATGTTATGTTGCGCATTGGTAGATGTTGTTGCGCTCGGTGTGCACAACTACGACCTTGTATATTACAACGCTATGGTGCACAGTGGATTGCAATGGCATGCTACGAGGTGTCGTATCACCGTGTGTTACGCAGCGGACTGCATCCATATGTTGTGTTACGCTACGACGTGATACGGTACGAAATACCATTCCATGCAATAGAGTGCTTGGTTTCCCATTACGCAGTGCGGTATTACTAAAGGGCTGCTGGGCTACAGTGTGCTGCACATGGCTGTAGCACGCATGACAGCGCAGTGTACTGTATCCCATTGCGTTGCCGTGCACTGCACATGGATGCCATGCCTCCGACAAAGAGTTTCGCTAATTAGGGTCGCGTCAGATCCATGATGTGTTCAAGATGACGTCGACTGATGCGGCACAGCGCGCCTACCGCATTGGCGAACAATGATCCTGAACGCAAGTGCAAATTGCGCCAGTTCATCGATAATTTGCGAAAACGCAAGTTCGATTGGCTTGCGAGAACCGTCGTTGTGAGTATCGCCTTCGGTGGAGCTCCCCAAGCGGCCACGAGGCGTGTGAGGGGTGCGCCGACACGGGTGGGGCGGCCGCATGCGGACGTGGCCATTGGGGCCTTTGGTGGAGCTCCCCTGAGGGGCCACGAGACGCGTGAGGAGTGGACCGAAATGCGTGGCGGTAACGCATGTGGACATGGCCACTGGGGCCTTCGGCGGAGCTCCCTGTGGGGCCACGCAAATTGTGAATGGTGTGCCGACATGGGCGGGGGGACGCATGACTGCGCCACTGAATGAGACCTGCGGTGAAGCTCGCTGTGGGGCCACGAAACGCATGAGTGGTGTACCCAAATGGGCGGGGCGAACGCATGCGAGCTGCGCCATTGGGACCTTCGGTGGTGGAGCTCCCTGTGGGGCCACAAAACGTGTGAGTGGTTTGCCGAAATGGATTGCAGGGACGCGTGCGGGCTGCCCCCACTGGGACCTTCGGTGGAGCCCCCATGTGGGGCCACGAAACGCGTGAAGGGTGTGCCGAAATGGGTTGGGCGGACGCATGCGGGCTGCGCAACTGGCGCCTTCGGTGGAGCTCCTTGTGGGGCCACGAGACGCGTGAGGAGTGGGCCAAAATGAATGTAGTGGCCGCATGTGGACACCGCCATTGGAGCTTTCGGTGCAGCGCCCCATGGTGCCACCACGTAACGCGTGAGGGGTGTACCGAAAGGTGTGGCGGAGACGCATGCGAAGTGCGGCATTGGGGCTTTCGGTGGAGCCCCGTGCGGGGCCACGAAACGCGTGAGGTGTGGGCCGGAATTGGTGCTGGGGACACATGCGAACTGCGCCACTGGGACCTGCGGTGGAGCTCCCTACGGGGCCACGAAGCGTGTGAGTGGCACGCCGACATGGGTGGGGCGGGACCGCATGCGAACTGCGCCATTGGAACCTTCGGTGGAGCCCCCCTACGGGGCCACGAGACGCGTGAGGAGTGGGGGCCACGAAACGTGTGAGGGGTGTGCTGACATGAGTGGCGGTACCGCATGTGAACTGCGCCATTGGCACCTTCGGTGGAGCCCCCTACGGGGCCACGAGACGCGTGAGGAGTGGGCCGACATGGGTGGCGAAGACACATGCAAACTGCGCCATTGGGACCTTCGGTGGCGCTCCCCATGGGGCCACGAAACGTATGAGGGGTGTGCCGAAATGGTTGGCGGGGACGCATGTGAACTGCGCCATTGGCACCTTCGGTGGAGCCCCCTACTGGGCCACGAGGCGCGTGAGGAGTGGGACGAAATGGGCGGCAAGGACACATGCAAACTGCGCCATTGGGACCGTCGGTGGAGCTCCCTGTGGGGCCAGGAAACGTGTGAGGGGTGTGCCGGTGGCGGGACCGCATGTGAACTGCGTCATTGGCACCTTCGGTGGAGATCATTGTGGCGCCCCGAAACGAGCGAGGGGTGTGCCGAAATGGGCGACTGGGACGCATGCGGGCTGCGCCACTGGGGCCTTCGGTGTAGCTGCCCGTGGGGCCACGAAGCGTATAAAGGGCGTGCCAAGAAAGAGTGGTAGGACCGCATGTGGGGTGCGCCTCTGGGGCCTTCGGTGGAGTTCCCTGTGCGGCCACGAAACGTCTGAGGAGTGTGCCGAAATAGGCGGCGGGACCGCACGCGAACTGCGCCATTGGGACCTTCGATGGAGCTCCCTGTGGGGCCACGAAACGTGTGAAGGGGAGTGCCGAGATGGGTGGCGGGACCGCATGCGAACTGCGTCTCTGGGGCTTCCGGTGGAGCTCTCCGTGGGGCCACGAGGCGCGTGAGGGGTGTGCCGACATGGGTAACTGGGACGCGTGCAGGCTGCGCCCATGTATGAGGGGTCTGCCGAAATTCACGTGTGGAGGACAGAGGGAAGATGACGGGAGGAGGGAGGAGGGGGAGGAGGAGTGAGAAGTGAACGCGGGGCGCTGTCCCCCTATATAACGAGGACCCAATTCCACATGATGGTTTGGAACAAAGCATTCGTGTAAGATGACGAGTAATAAGAGAATGTGGGGGAACAGGAAAACACAATAGCATCCGGATCTTCGGTTTCCGCTTCGCTTCGGCTCCGTCTGGCCCATTCGGTTTTCCAGTCGCGCGCCCGAGGAGGGCGGGAAATGATTACAAAATTATCTTGGCGAAGGACCGAACCATATGCAGTTGTGGGTACAACAGTGGTGTGTATCCTCTTCGGTGGAGCTCCCTATGGGGCCACGAAACGTGTGAGGAGTACGTGGCGGGGACGCATGTGGTCACAGCAGCTGTGGCCTTCGGAGGCGCTCCCTATGGGGCCACGAAACGTGTGAGGAGTGTGCCGAAATCAGTGGCGGGGGCGCATGTGGCCACAGCCACTGGGGCTTTCGGTGGAGCTCCCTATGGGGCCACGTGACGTGCGAAGGGTGTGCCGACATGGGTGGCGGGGACGCATGTGGTCACAGCCATAGGGTCCTTCGGTGGAGCTCCCTATGGGACCGCGGAACGTGTGAGGGGTGTACTGCAATGGGCAGCGGGGGCCATGTGGTCACAGCCATTGGAACCTCCGGTGGAGCTCCCTCATGGGGCCTCGAAGCGTGTGAGGGGTGTGCCGACATGAGTGGCGGGGCCACCTGTGATCACAGCCATCGGGGCTCTCAGTGGCGCTCCCTATGGAGCCACGAAACGTCTGAGCGGTGTGCCGAAATCAGTGGCGGGGACACATGTGGTCACAGCCACTGTGGCCTTCGGTGGCGCTCCCTATGGGGCCACGCGACGTGTGTGTGGTGTGCCGAATTTGCTGGAGGGGACGCATGTGGTCACAGCCACTGGGGCCTTCTGTGGAGCTTCCTATGGGGCCACGTGACGTGCGAGGGGTGTGCCGAAATGGGTGGCGGGGACGAACGTGGTCCCAGCCATTGGGCCCTTCGGTGGAGCTCCCTCTGGGGCAACGAAACGTGTGAGGTGTGTGCGGAAATGGGCGGCGGGGACGCACGTGTTCATAGCCATTGGGGCTTTCGGTGGAGCTCCCCACGGGGCCACGAATCGTGTGAGGGGTGTGCCGAAATGAGCGGCGTGGACGCATGTGGGGTGCGCCACTGGGGCCTTCGGTGGAGTTCCCTGTGGGGCCACGAAACGTCTGAGGGGTGTGCCGAAATAGGCGGCGGGACAGCACGCGAACTGCGCCACAGGGACTTTCGATGGAGCTCCCTGTCGGGCCACGAAACGTGTGAGGGGTGTGCCGAAATCAGTGGCGGGGACGCATGTGGTCACAGCCACTGAGGCCTTCGGTGGAGCTCCCTGTGGGGGGGCCAAATATGTGAGGTGTGTGCCGAAATCAGTGGCGCGGACGCATGCGGTCACAGCCCTTAGTGCCATCGGTGGAGCTCCCTTGTGGGGCCACGAAACGCGTGAGGGGGTGTGCCACCACCATGTGTTGCGGGGGCGCATGAGGGCTGCGCCACTGGGGCCTTCGGTGGCGTTCCCTTTGGGGCCACGTGACGAGTTAGTGGTGTGCCGACATGGGCAGCGGGGATGCATGCACTGGGGCCTTCGGTGGAGCTACCGATGGGTCCACGAAACGTGTGAGGTGTGTGCCGAAATGAGCGGCGTGGACGCATGTGGTCACAGCCATTGGCGCCTTCGGTGGAGTTCCCTATAGGGTCACGCAACGTGTGAGGGGTGTGCCGAAAATAGATGGCGGAGGCGCATGTGGTCACAGCCACTGGGGCCATCGGTGGGGCTCCCTACGGAGCCACGAAACGTGCGAGGGATGTGCTGAAATGGTGGACATGCGGAGGGCACAGTCAGGGAGGGAGGAGGGGCGAGGAGGAGAAGAAGGAGGAACGTGGGGCGCTGTCTCTTCAGAACGAGGATCCAACACCACAGGATGGTTGGGAAAGAGGTTCCCGACCCAAGGCCGTTTTTTCCAATCATCATCCTGGGCGACACCGTGTGAGCACAACCCCCAGCAATGTCTTCATCCACATCTTGCACCAACGGAGATGATTTGACCAAATTGATGTACAGTGTCTCCGGTCCGTTGCCAGGTATTCACAGTTGAGGGGTTATTTCGCGCATTTGTTTCTGGGCCTCGTCAATTTTGTGGGTACGTATGCTGTACAAAGTTGAGAGGTATGAGTTCCGCCGCCTCGGTGCCTGCAGAATGTTTCTGCGTGAGTTCTCCCATGGCCTCGGTCGCAGGTGAGAGCCCTTGCTTTCGTCAGCCACACTGACCCATCGGTCGCTGAAAGTTTGTTTTAGGGGAGCCCCCAGTTCCCAATCTAATTTGGGCGCCTATGTATTTCAAGAGTTGAGCGGCTTTCCCACTTCCCTCCTCTTCAGGGGGCGGGCGGAAGCCCCGTCTGCTTTTAGCGCCTTCCCACTTCATGCCCCTGGCCGCTTCTTCTGACCGATGGGCACTGCGGTGTCACCAGTCGCGGCGCTCCTCTTCTCGTCCCCCTCCCTCGGCAGCCCCCCTGCCGAGGGAGGGGGAGGAGGAGGAGGAGGCGGAGGAGGAGGAGGAGGAGGAGAAGGGCGAGGAGGAAGAGGAGGAGGACGAGGAGGAGGAGGAGTAGGAGGAGGAGAAGGGCGAGGAGGAGAAGGGCGAGGAGGAGGAGGAGGAGGAGGAGGCCCCTCGGCAGCCCCCCTGCGTGCCCCTTGCGGCCAGGACTCCCGGGAGCGGCCCGGGCTCCGCGGAGAGGTTCTCCCCCCGCGGGGCCCCAGCAGGCTTCCTGGGGCGGCGCGGCGGGCGACGGTATGGGCCGGGGCCGCCAGGGCACGGCGACGGGCAGGGGCTCGGCGCGCGCGAGAGAAAAGCATCCGACCGGAGGATCGGTACGATCAAGATGGTTACGGGGTTCTTGCCCATCAGGAGGAGGAGGAGGAGGAGGAGGGCGAGGGCGAGGAGGAGGAGGAGGAGGAGGAGGGAAGGGCGAGGAGGAGGAGGAGGAGGAGGAGGAGAAGAGGAAGGGGGCGAAGGCTGGCAGCAGTTCCTGAACATGTTGAGCGGGATGCGCCGTCGGCGTCGCCGCAGGCGTTGTCCGATCGAGGCAGGAGATCGCTTGCC